CGTGACATGGTAACGTGACATGGTAACGTGACATGGTAACGTGACATAGTAACGTGAAAATGTAACGTGACATAGTAACGTGACATGGTAACGTGACATGGTAACGTGAAAATGTAACGTGACAATGCAAGTTGATGGTTTACCAGAACCTCTTTGAGGCAAACTAGCAGTCCCTCTCCATGAACGCCTCATTCACCTGCTTTTCCTAATCATAGAAGATGCAATCCTTCTCACCTGCTTGTGATTATCTGCTTCAGGAGGACTCTTTATTCAGCTTTAGCCTCGTCTAGGTTAAGTAAAGCGGTGAAGAAAGATATCCCATCTCATTGTGGGACAACATGGTTTCCTCTGCTGCTCTAAGTGAGTCAGATAGCTTGTTGTTTTATTCACCTGTTCAGGTAACAGACCTGTTGTCCGATGTGGCCACTGTGTGTTGTTCTGTGCAGGGATTAACTGCTCAGATCAGGTGGACTGAACACAGAGCTGCATTGAACCAGACTCATATTCAACATATCACATTTCTCCTGAAACAATCTGACCTTTCCAAGAAGAGTAACAGAGGTGGTGAATCTCGGTGGATGATTATTTCGAGAATATCACATTATAACTGAAATGATTTCAAAAGGTCTTGAGTCATATTTTAGAGAGTTTCTATGACCCGTTGACTTTCACTGACTTATTTTTCTCTGCACCACTTTGGCTGTTATTTTGTTGGGCTTTAAACATAAATGTGACCTCATCTGTGGTCCATTATCACACACTTTACTTGTTAGGTTTTTATGTGAACACATTTAACTCTTTTTTGCTGTATAGGGAGCATTTTTTAAAGCTCCACTAATCAACAATTAATCAAATTATTCAGGCTGTTTTACACACTGTTCGTAGCTATACCTCAGAAAAGTATTACACTATAACTTGTATATATTCCACATAATCAATTTATATGTAATCCAAGTAATAGTAAACCAGGACAAGTGACGTAGTATAAAGAGCAATAAAAAATGGGGTTGACTTTAACCCAGGAGACCGCTGGTCATGTCCCGCGGAACCAAAAGTGGATATTGACTTATTTGTTGCGTAATTCTGTATTAAGTAAAGTAACTTCTGTACGTATTTTTACCCTAAACTTTGGCTTATTTGTCACGTAACTTCTTTAATTAAGTAACATCATTTACATGCTTATTTTAACCCAAACTGCGATCTTTTCCTGAACCCAGCATCCGTCTGCTCGTCTGCTCTCCTCCCGGCTGTAGTCTTCGAGCGTGTTTCCAGCATAACGTAAGCATGAAAACAAGGTGGGATTACCAAGCTAACGTCAGCTAGCTAACTAGCCGGCCACTAAATGAGCTGCGCTGTGATTGTATTGCTACACAGTGGTCACTGAAGAGGAAGGTCTGAAGGGCTTTATCTTTCTTTTATTTCATGACGTAAATTAGTCCAAAACGGTCGACTATATCTAATATAATGGTTAGCTATATCTAATATTATCATCGCACATTACAGCTGATTTAAAACAGTAGATGGCATTTTAAGGCCATTTTTAACCAAGAAATGCATATTTTGGTAAGATATGTCCATTTTAGTACCAGCATTAATGTGTATCATCATCGTACAGTCGTATAATTTAGTTTATAGCTTGAAATATGTGTTCAAGTGTTAAAGCTTGTCAAATTGTCTCTGCTCTTCGCACTTTAATTGGATTTTTGTTTAACAATTTAAAAAATCCTTGTCCCTAACAATTTCAGCCAATAAAGGAAAGAAAATATAAATAAACCTTGAAGCTCATTGACTGTGTATGTATTATAATATTTTTTTAAATTTAGTTCATCTTAATTTTCTAAACCATTGATTTTATGTATTTTGCATGACGGCAAGTAATACGTTTTCAAATCAACCACATCTGTAAACTATAAAGAGCTCCTCAGCAGACTGATTGAGCTCAGCTTCCTTGTCTTTGGGCAGAGATAAAAATAATAGAAAGCAATGAACACAAACACTGTTGACTCTTGAATCTTCCCAGTGTGCAGCACATTTGAAGATCGGGTAATCACAGGCCATCGAGTGTGATTGGCCTGCACAGAGACCAAGGAAATAAGAATAATTGAGCCACAGAGAAGCAGCTGGAGAGCTTCTTGTTCACTTTCTCATTTTAAAAGACAGACATGCTCCACTCTACGGTACTTACACAACCACACAGTCACAAAACCAAGTGGTCCATATAGATAAGAACATGAAGCATCGTGTCGGCACCACGACTGCATGGATTGTTCTTTCACATATAGCTGTTTTATTATTGGTTTCATTATCAATCGACACGCGACATGAACAGCGGTCTCCTTCGTTAAAGTGCTGTGTTTGTGTGACACATCCATGCATGCCGAATTTCGCACTGTGTGAACTTCCGCAGACTTTGATTAGAAACGTATCTTCAAAAGTAAACCTGGAGAAGCACCCTTCAGTTTTTATGCACCTTATATCTGGAACGAACAGAAGACTGCAGCGTTCACTTCCTTTAAATCAGGGCTGAAATACTTAGTTAGGTTTAAGAACAGATGGTGAAATACTTTAGGAAGAAATCTTGGTTCAGGGTGAAAATATGTACAGAAGTACAGAAGTTACGTGACAAATAAGTCAACATTGACTTCTCGTTTCACAAGCAGCATGAACAGCGGTCTACTGGAGGAAACACCGGTGTTTGTTTGTGTTACATTTTTTAGTCGTCAAATCTGAAACTATTGCGGCAGGATAATCGTATGATCCATGTGACCTAAACCTGCAGCAAGGTTTCACTACCTTCAATGGTTGTGGGACCGAGAGAATCGGAGCAGTGTAGGTCAGTCCTCATGTTCAATATGAAGATGCTTGACTCTTTTCTCCTACACTGGCGTTCATCTAATGACATGTGACAGTAACATCATGGTGCATGATACACCGCTCCACAAAAAGCTGCCATCAGCTCCTCAACCTGCTCCTGACGTGTCTCCCTGTGGTCGCATACATACCTTGACACAGCTGCTACCTGTGGGACGCACACATCAGCAATAGAGCATGATGGGAAAGCGTCCTGCAGTTTGGGGCTTTACAGTGCAGCCCTTTTGGACTGATTGGTTTGTTGCAGCAGCTGCTTCATCATCGCCGTGAATGTTTTGTGGGGTTTTCTGATCGGATGGTCCCTGATTGCTGCCTCTGTTTGTGCGTAGCGGTGTTTGATTTGCGTCGGCATCCTCCTAAAGTGTAGAAGTGTTGCTGGTTTGATTGCATTTGATTGTGCAGATAAACACAATGTTTTCCTCCATCGCCGGCTGCAACGAGCAAAAGCAAGAGCACAGATGAATCTTCTGCATCGGGCAGATTTCTTGTTAAAGAATGAATCTGATAGATGAACTTTAAATGGGATTCACTAACAATATGATAAATATAGGACAACACCATCCTTATTGCTTAATCTAACGTCCTCTGTCCTCTGTTAATAAAAGACATGTAAACATACATTCGTCTCTGGAAGGTAACAAAACAAGCATCTCTTCTCCAGAGCTGACTTTTAACAGAAGAAATAGGACTCCTTCCTTTTTCTGTCGGGTGTTAATCAAACTCTGGCACGAACGAGCGAGTCCTCATCACGTTGTAGCCTCGATGCTCTTCTTCTCTTATTAACCACATAACTCAGCTCGGCCTGCCAGCAGATCCTCACCTTTACAACGATCCAGACTGTCGCGGCTCACGCTGGTCGATGCGGCTCAAGTGCTGCTCGGGGAACATTAAAACACACACAAGTCCAACTCAACACTTTTCCATGACCACAATTTGTGATCAAATTAGGACTTCCATGTTTTTGCTGGAGATTCTCTTCTGTTTGGAAGGAGAGTTTACGCTTTTAGTCGCTTTGATGAAAGATTTGAGTTAATTATAACTGAGCAGCACTGCTATCTTTTTGATCTTTCAAACATTGTTCTTACAATTGTTCTTTAACAATTGAAGCGCAACTCTCCTCATGAGAGTATAAAACATATAATTATAGATTTGTCATAAACATTCTGTTCCATATAATACAAATTCACAGCTCAC